TGATCATTTGTAAATGGAAAACAAAAAGGTGTATGATCATCATATGTGAAGAAATATATGTCCTCTTCCAAGGCAGGGAAGATGCATGTGTTAACTTTGCTTGCACTTGCTCTGGTATTATCCCATAGCTTCTGTCTCTTTTACTTGTTACTTTTTATTAGTACTTCGTGAGATGTCATCTTCAAGAGCTCCACATCTAAAACGAAACAAGCCAGAAATTATAAATATAAGTTGATTTTAGCTATGCGTAGATGTTGCATTTTTGCAGACATGCTTCTTAGGCAACAGCAACTGGTTAGCATCGACCTGGATCTACCTCTGCAGCTCCTTGATCTTGTTTCTCGCAACTTGAAGCTCTTTTCTCAAACCAACGTTATGCGAGATCTCTTCTTGAAGCTTCTTCCTTTCTGCTTGCAAAGAGTTAATTGTGATGTTCAACATATCAGTCTCAGCAATCTTGATCTTGAGCTGTCTTTGTAACTGAACGATGTCATATTCTTGCTCTTTACTCTGTAATACTCTAGGAAAAAAAAAGGTTAATTTACAATTTTGACACGAACACCCAACTTCCACTTCATGATGTGATCAAGTGATCAAGTGGCTAATTTCGTAAGCACTCCTAATATATACAGCTATTAACTATTATAGTATTATCTGAGAATACTAGGGAAGTTTTAATATTCTCCCAGAAAGAGAGTAAATATAAAAAAATAAAAAACGTGCATCATATAAGTTTAAGTAAACTCACATACTTAAAATAAACAGAAGAATGTAAAAATAAAGACCCTAACTTAACCAAATAATGCACCATGATCTATATCTGAAGATAAAAACTAACTTAAATGTTATAATCTACTTAAAAACATGGAAGAAACTAAAAACTCACTTAGTTATTCATCTGCAATGGAAACGTTGCTGACAAGTGTAGAGACTGTTGTTTTTTTCATCACCAGAGTCTTTCCAAATAAGCAACCAATCATTAACGCTGCAGAAATAATACATGAAGACATATAGTTTCGGCATTAAGAGGAGGTATGTTTTCCATTAAACGAAGGTTTTTACGATTGTATGACAACTGCAGGCTATATTTTAAAGCTTGTATAATTTCATGGACCCAACAATTTGGATATATGGGACATAACCGCATCTAGGTTGATGAAGCTAGGTTCATTCCAAAATTAGCCATCTCGGCTATCTCTAACGGTTTCTATCAAAAAGATTAAACTAAAAATAGTTTCAATTTTTGAACACGTATGTTTGAATTTGTTTCGTACGCCATCTCCCGCTTGAAAATTACATCTTTATTGCTCATAGAAATACGCAGCTAGCATGCACGAAGCATAGAGAAAAAACTACAAAGTCAGAACATACTTGATAAAATGATCTAACTAAAACCTTAACCTTTTTGGGTAATCTAAAGAAATATTTGAGTTGGGATAAGATACGAAATAAGAATGCATAGTGAGGAGGGTATTGGTGGTACGGTGTAGTTTTCTTAATGAGTACATTTTGAGATTTCATATTCTCAGAAGGCAATTTCCTATTCCTAAGCTCATTTTACTGTAATCCTGACAATTCAATGAGTTTCTTTAAGATTAGTGTGTAAAGTTAGTAGAGTCTAATATTGTATAAACTAACCGATGGAATCCTTTCATTTTGTACATGAGCTTGTTAGGTAGAAGAGAGCCAAACAACCTTTAAGAAAGATTTAACCTCGACATCACAGCCTTTTTGTCACCTTTTCCTGCATTTCGTTTGAAGCTCTCAAACTTAGAATCAGCAAATTTATAATACAAAAAAAGGCCAACTCTCTTATATTAGATCTTGGATTCGAGTTATTGTAATCGTGAAAACCTAAGGGATTACAATAGGAAGGGAAAATGTAAAAAGTCCTAATCTTATAATCTTATGAAATCATTTTATAGAATTCAATGGAATGAAACAGAAGTAGGTAGAGAATAATTGTCGGCTAGAGACAGCTGAGTTCATTTGAAGTTCAGTGCAATGAATGGTCTTGCTTAGATACTTTTAACAATGGAACCAAACAGTTAACAGCGTCAAGTTTAGAATTGTCATTTGAAATCAGCATCAGGTGTAAATTCCTCTTCATCTAAACCCTTTGATGAT